TTTATTCCTTTTTGAGAGAGAGAGAGAGAGAGAGAGAGCATGAGCAGGGAGGGGCAGGGAGAGGGAGACACAGAATCCGAAGCAGGCTCCAGGCTCCGAGCTGTCAGCACTGAGCCCGACCCGGGGCTCGAACTCACCACTGTGAGATCATGACCTGAGCCGAAGTCGGACACTCAACCAGCTGAGCCCCCCGGGCGCCCCAAGAACCCAGGCTCCTCCTGCCGGTTGGCTCCGTCATCCTCAACCGTGGCCTCCTCCTCAGGATCCAGTGAGGCTGCTCCAGCCATCAGTATACATTACCGGCGGCAGGAAGACACAAGGGACGAAGAGGAGCCTGTATTTAAGGACCTTGCCATTGCACATGACATTGCTATGCACCCCGCTGGCTAGAACTCGATCCCCGTGTGGCATCTAGCTGCAAGGGAAGCTGGGCAGTACGATCTCGCCCCTGGACATCAGTAACTGGAAACCAGGGGCTGCTGCTGAAGGCCAGAAATGACCAGTGGATCGGATCCCCGTCCTCCCTGCACAGAATATGTCCCGCAGCGTCCGGCGGCAGAGGCCGTGGGGTCACGGGACATGCTGGAGCCTCCCCACGCTGTCCTGTTGGCATCTCACTTCAACTCATTTTCACAGATGAGGGAACTAGGTCTCAGGGGAGCAAGTGGCCTGTCCAAGGGCCCACAGCTGACAGGCCAAGAGAGGCAGGCCCTGCTGAGAATTTTCCAGAACTTTTACCTACCGGGCGTGCGGTGGGGGTGGTTCAAGACCATGAGGCCCCCATCACTCCCTCACCCAAGATGCCTCTTCTCTCCTGGTCTCTTGTTGACTGAGGCTGTCGCTGCCTCCTCTTTAAGCAGGACACAGGAGTGACCATAAACCCCCTCCTATCTTCCAGAGCACGGGAGGCAAGGCAGGGACAGTGACAGGTGGCCAACCTCTGGGTGACCAGCGTGCCCTCAGCACTGGATGGGAGCCCAGGCAGAGAGGAGGGGACCTGGAGCTGCCCCTCTCAGTCCTGATGTGCTCCCCCCTGCGCCCCCTCTGCTCACCCCCACCCGCCCCACAGCGGATCAGCTCTCCGCTTGGGCCCCAGGGCAGCATCCTCCAGGGCCAGAACTCGGTCTCAGTCTTAGTCACTGATGCTAACTCCCTGCCGTATTCTCTGTCTTCACATTCACCTTAAAACTCACAAAGGGGCACACGTTTATAAAAATAAAAGCAGACATTTCCAAGGTGCATAAGGTCAAAAGTCAAATTCTGCTCCGCAGGTGTGCTGATGCCTGGGTCGCAGGACCCGGAGCTGAGAGCTGACCTGGGGTGGCGGTTGCCAGACCGTGTCTATACCCGCGTGACTGCCGCACGCACACAGATGCACGCACTGTGCGCTGCCCTGCGGGCCGGTGCACGGCCGAGTTTGCTCGGGTGGCTGCAGATGGGCACGTGGGTGCTTCCAGTTTTCCGTGGGAAGCGTTGGCATTGCGGTACTTGCGCAGCGGCTCTGTGGGCGTGGGTCCCCAGAAACTCACCGCCCTCTCTCCCTCATCAGGCCTCCACCCCCCCACCCCCCGCCACCAGAGCGCCTGCGGGACCAGAGCCACCGGGAGCAGGGGGCACGGTGGCCTGGAGGCTGTCCTCTGGCTGCCTGGGGAGAGGCGGCCGCAGGGCTCCGGCCCCAGGCACGGCGCTGGCCTCTGGGTCTCTTGTTCCTTGGCTTTGCTTCTCTCTGCACGCTGGCCTCCTTCTCTTCAGGTTTCTCCATGCCGCGGGGGGGGGAACGGGACATGACCCAGACAGGGCCCAGCCACCTGTCCCAGCTTGGTTACCCAGTAGGAACACAGGGTTCTCTCTCCACGTCCAGGAAAGGGGCCAGGGGTCAGCGTACTGCGATCTCCAGGCCTGGGTCCCGAGCTGCCCCCTGCCTTGGGGGTGGGTGGTGGCTCTACAGATCGGGTGAAGGCAATTCCTGCAGGAAGCGGGGACATCTGCTATGGGAAGAAATGGCCGGGAGGCCCACACTCTGGCCCCGTGGAAGCCGCACATTGTCCCTCCACTCGCACCCCCCCACTCGGGGGGCCCTGCCTGGCACAGCATACTCCCTTCCCAACAGAGGTCGACCTGGGTCACTTGACTGTGACAGTGGGAGGCGACCTGGGCCACAGTCCCCTGGGGCGTGTCCACCTCCCTGAATTCTGGTCAGGTTCTGCCCGGTGTCTGCAGCCTGGAGGAGATGCCAGGGCTACCTGCTGCCAGCACGTCTGACGCTGCACAGCAGGAAGAAAGAAGAGGGAAGGAGGAGAGAATAAAGAGCGTTCAACCTCAGACAAGTCAAAATGATGTCCTTGCTTCTCCCCACTGGGTCACAAGCCACCGTCGGCATCTGTGACCCCTCTGCTGCTGACTCTCCACGTTGCCCTCGCCTCCAGCCAGTGCCTCGGACGGATGGGTTCTTTCCCTGCTGGGCTGATCCAACCTTTACTGCCGAGGGGGGCGGGGCCCTTGTGCCTCTTGCCCTCCTGGGGTTGCAAAAGTCTCCCACCAGCACATCAGCATGGCCCAGGGGAATGCTCCTGAGGTCCCCAGTCCCACCTGCGTCCCGGAGGCCAGACGGGTACTCCACACCTTCTTTCCCCATTCACTCGGTGTGGCCCCAGCCCCTATTTTCTGGGCTGGCAGTGTCCTCCCCTGGGAAACACACTGCAGACCAGCCTAGCTCTGAGTCAGGACAGAAAGCAGAACCGAAGATCACTGGTGTGACATAAGATGCTTGACCTGCTCCCCCAGCTCCCGGACCCAGGTCCAGGGCTGAGCAAGAAACACCCCTTCTGCGGGTGTGTGGGCTGCACCCCCGAGCCTGGGCACACATGCCCGGCTGCGCGTGGCCCAAGGGTGGTCGCGCTCCTTGCTGTACCTGTGCTCACAAAGGAGTCCCTTGGTTGCAGGGACTGGGTGGGGTTTCCTGAGCACGTCGAGGGGTCCACAAGGCCCATGACACAGCCACATCCAGAGCAGCGCCTACTCCTGGAGGGCACACGCCATGATGGAAGGACCCAAAGTAACCCACTGGCCGCTGCACAGCTGCCTGGTCCCCTAGGGTATTACAGTTGGGATCTGAGGTCTCTTGTTGTTGCTGACAACTGGGTATTTGTCCGAGGGGACCCAGGTCAGCTACAGGGAGGAGAGGTTCATGGTGGGGTCCTTGTCCATATCCTTCCCGCCTGCCCACTGACGGCGGGGCGGGGGGGGGGGGCTGGCAGGCAGCCCCGGGGCGGGTCACATGC